TTTCTTTTTGCAACGAAATAAAGTAAAAATAGTTAAAATAACTATACTAGACCCAATTTCACACATTCATGCTAAAAATGTGAAAATTCTCGGGGAGGGTCAAAAATCACGTGCTTACAAGTATAACACAAATACATAAAACAAAATTTAAATTCCTTAAGTTTGTTAGTAAACTGTATTTGTAAAATAACTCTGGAGAAAATAAAATAACATATAAATAGAAATATAAATGAAACAGAAGTTAATTCGAGCCCACTGAATTCACAGTATTTACGGATCAATCGATCATTTGACCGAAGCCGAGCCGAGCGACGACGGCGTGAGGCTTGCCTTCTTCTTAACTCTTTAAGAGTTAGAAAAAGAGCAATTATATATATACCCATCAAAAACCTTTTCCTCTTCCAATGTGGGACAATGTCCCTTTGTCAAGGAGGGAAACTCAATTATTTCATTTTCCCTCCATTTTCCATTCACCCACTTTTAAGCTACATTAAAGCTTAAAAACCCAACAGTTGGAAGGCAAAAAAAAAAGTATGGTGTAATCAATAATGGTCCGACAAATTTGAGAATGTAAATTAATAAGTTCATCCAATGAACTCTCAATCAATCGGCTAATAGATTTATGATTATTTATATCAAGATTGAGGGTGTAAATTTGGAGTTTATGCAATGCATTCTCAACCAATCCCTATTAGTTTTGACAAATAATTTGGGTAGAAAAATGAAAATATGATTCGAGGCAATAATATATTTTTTTGTTGTTAACACAACTTCATTTTAAAACTAGACTCTATTTTTTATGTCTACACTATTTTATTCGGCATTTTTATCGTCAATTACTTTTATTAATCAACTTATCTAAACTAGAAAAATGACCTTGAGAACTTGGATGATTTGACTTCTTCTATAATCTTTCATTTGAATATGTATCCTAGACCTTGAAGTAGTTTAAACCTACACAATATTCAAATCAGCAATCGCCAACTTCCGCATGCTAGTCATTCATTGTCAAATTAGGTAAAGTTTTCATGACACATTAAAGTTATTGACCAAGTTTATCAGGCTAATTAATATGAGATGAAGGTTCTATTGATACATTAAGCAATTGACCAATCTTGATAAATTTAAGTCTATACCTAACTACTCTCATTTAGGCTACTATAATTGTAAGAATTGCACGGACACCCTATTTGGTCACCCCCATTTAACCTATACCCATTTTTTAAAAAACTTTTAACTTGTATTCACTTTTTAAATAACTTAAGCCCTCTTTCTCCTCCTCCTTCTCCTCCTTTGTTTTCTTCTTCAAGTTACAAAACAAATTGATATTTATCTCCAGAAGCAACACTGCTTTAGTTATAAGGTCAATTTTTTTAATTGAACAGTTCGGCAGTTGTACTTCTGCTCCAAATTTATAGCAAATTAGTCTTAGGAAAAAGTTTAAGTTACCAATAGGGTTTGTTTTGGATTGCTCACTGTTGGAAAGCGTTTTTGTAAGACCAATTGTTTGTGTGCCCTTTGGATATATATATATTTCTTGGTATGATTTTTGTGCAGTATATATTCATACGCCTCTATACTTATTTTTGTTTGTTTGGGCACCGTTATTCATTCTTTTGTCTCAGAGGACATATATCGAGCATTTTGTGGCTCTCTTAAAAACATAACTTGCTCATTCTAGTCCACTTCAGCTAACAGTCACTAGCTACAACTAAGGCAAAATAACAAAAATACAGCTAGAAAATTATAATTGACAAATACAACAAATTAACAAAAACTTCAGCTCTAGAGCTGAAGTTCGCCAGTTACAAAGACAAAAACTTCAGCTCTAGAGCTGAAGTTTCCCAGTTACAACACAAAAACTTCAGCTCTAGAGCTGAAGTTTCCAGTTACAACCCAAAAACTTTAGCTCTAGAGCTGAACTTCAGGCTCGGCTACTAGAATGCTGAAGTTTTCCGTGATTGCCTTTGCTACTTCAGCCCCGTGTGCTGAAGTTATGCGAAAAAGCGGGTACACTTGTAATTTTTTTTGCAAAGCGAGAACAAATTAAAATGTGACACAAAAAGCAGATATAGATGCAAATGCTCCACTATAATTTGTATGACTGATGCAAAGTGCTAACCTGTCCAAGTTAACCAAATAACGGAAGATATTTTATCCCCCAAGAGATGCAGCATTTGTTTTTTGTTTTTTTGGTCAATTTTTGAAGGTACTGACCGAGATCAAATATTCACGGTCAATCTTCTTAAAGATGCTAATAGTAATAAATACTGTAGTACTATAGGACAAGCTAACAGAAGACAGGGAACACAGGTTTACATTCAAGTCATTACTAGCTCAAGTCATGGCTTACAATACTTTTATCTTTTTACTCACACGGTTTTGAACTCCCTCGATCTCATGATCTTTAATTAAAAGGATAACCCGCCAAAAGCAAACAGCACCATAAATTCCAATAGAATAGGAAATCATTTTGTGGCGCATAATATTGTGAAAACTATTATGGGATAATGATATGTACCGAGTATAATGTGGAATTCCTGATTTTAAAAGATTTTGGCATTAGCTACCCTCATCCACTGATTGTTGACACACACCATATGTCTGTTTTATATATTATTTCGCATAAACTAATAAATAAATTTTCATATAATCTGAAATTTACTAGCAATATGAAGTTTAATAAAAGCCAAAAACGATGTATAAAGTAATGTTGTACCTAACTTTCCCTGCAAGACCAACCAAATATTATGACTCATCCAAAATCTCAAGTTCGTTCGTCCCCTTTTTTTCCCTTTGCTTGAATTAGGTATAAACTTTTGCAACAATAACCAATTAGTATTCAAGCATACCATAAACGCTGGTTCATAATTTCGAATCTTCATGCTGTTTTTAGGTGGAAATTGGACCAACAAAGAATTGGAACTTCAAGAGGAAATGATAAAGGTACAGTGACTGGAAATCGCCGTAAGTCGATAGGATAGGGAAAAGGATGACCCTAATAAGGAGATGGTTTGTTGTTGACTGGAAATCGCCGTAAGTCGATAGGATAGGGAAAAGGATGACCCTAATAAGGAGATGGTTTGTTGTTGACTGGAAATCGCCGTAAGTCGATAGGATAGGGAAAAGGATGACCCTAATAAGGAGATGGTTTGTTGTTGACTGGAAATCGCCGTAAGTCGATAGGATAGGGAAAAGGATGACCCTAATAAGGAGATGGTTTGTTGTTGACTGGAAATCGCCGTAAGTCGATAGGATAGGGAAAAGGATGACCCTAATAAGGAGATGGTTTGTTGTATTTCATTTTTTTTAGTGGATTTTGTTGCCTGGGCCTCCTGGAAAGAACATGGTATAGGATAAAAACAATAGAATGTACAATAGAATGTACAGCTGTGTCAATCAGCAATAAGCAATAAGTCACAAACAGGTTTCAATCTGTTACCAAGAGTTGAGTCATAACAGGAATCATGCTTCTCCTTCATATATACCACATCCTGATGCGTTGAAGATAACAAGATGCATGAGTTCCTACATATACGAACTAGCAACATATATAATTTACATTCTTAAGCAAAATGCATTAAGGTGCACAAATCTTAACATTCTCGCTTTTTCCCTCATCTTGCATCGCAGTAGCATATATACATGCAACCACTATAAAGGGAAATTATTCTCTTTTCTTAGAAACACAAATGAACATGGTTCAAATCACAGGCCTTCCAAAGTAGCCCAAAGGATATTCACCTACTATGCTTTTCCAGCTGGTAAACTTTTCATGTCTATAAGGGATTTCTCAGAGAGATTTATGATTGAATCAGCAATAACTCTGGCACTGGATTTCATGTAACCGCCTGAAAATGTAATAAAAAAGATCTGTTACTGGCAACATATGGCACAAGAAGTCCACCAAATTGATTCAATGACTAGGCAGCAATAGAGAACAGGGGATAGGTTGAACCTGATGTGAGCATGATGAGGGGGGTGTTTCTCTCTCGAGCAAACCTGAAAACCTTTTCGTCCCTACTAGCAATGCCATCAGGACTGATCTGCACGGGCACATATGCAATTAATAATGACACTACATACAAACGATTTTGGCATAAACTCATTTCTCTCTCTCTTTTTTTGGGGGGGGCACAGAAAGAGTGCGGTTTTATTTGTAATAAACCTGGTAGTTACATGCATACTGAAACTAAAAGTGCTTCAATCAAACCAAATCTTTAGCATTGCCAGAAATTCAAGGCATGCCCATTAATTTTGACTACTTGAAGTATTTGAGTAAAGAGAGAAGCATGATTGATGTTTTACCTTTCTCTGGCTAAGTTAAGACACAAATCATTTAGGCCCGAGCCTATATACAGAGGCTGGAGCAAATATCAATCATACTTCATAAGACACATTTTTTAATGTACGAAAATGTTACCGCAATTTAATTATTTTACTTACTAAAATTTAAAATCATTTAACTAATCAAATATAAATATCAATGTGATCACTTCTCCTCCACCAAGCTAATATTCACCAATTACTCAACTATTTTTCTCACCACTTGTACACAAGTCAAACAAAAATTTAAACTTATGTCCAGTAAATAGTATCACGTTACAATTAGATGGAGTGAATTACATAAAATTGAGTCTAATGCTTGGAGCAGAATTGGGATATTTCGTATCTTCACACTACCTTTCAAGCCAAAAACATGTATGTGATTTTAAAAAAGAAAAAGATTACTTTCTTACATCCCAAATTTTATAATACTCTTCCAGTTAGCTGTATAACGAATGTTAAAATTTTTTATAAGCTTGTAGTAATTAAAACACCTAGAATTCCATCTTGTGTGTGGTTTGCCACGAAAGAACCACAATCTTCAGACATGCAACCCACATATAGTTTGTTTCCAGTTTGTGGGTATTACCTTCAACCTGCCAAGTGGATCCCCATCCAAAATATCAGTGCCAGCATTATAGACGATAAAATCGGGATCAAATTTCTTCTCCGCAACCTGGAAGTCAATTAGGATAACAATCAATCATGTATTACAAGGGTAAATCAACACAATAATGGAGAACTCACTAGGAAAGAAAAAAGATCTTTTTTTTATACTTGGGAAAGAAAAAAACATCTTTTATATGTGTTTGAATGTTTCCAATAAATAAAGAAAGCATAGAAGAATCAGAAGACACTGACATATTAGTTCTTTTACGTCAAATGATTTCATTACAGCAAAGATGTAAACACTTTACAGAAGTCCGGTTGCAAAGCTCTAAAGATATTCATCCCTCTAGCCTCTACACAATAGGGAGTATCCTTCTTACATCAAAAATATTGAAGGAGCAAAAGGGGGCTTTTAACTCTTCACAATGCATTTTCGATTTCTTCAAAAACTTCTGTGTTCCTTTTACTCCATCTCAACCAAAAAGCACAACGAGGAGCTACTCTCCACAAACCTTCTTCCTAGATAGTTCTAGGTAATTTCATTAACACTAGATATTGCAGAATTAATTCACAGAAAGTCGTCATGGTTTTTCTAGGACTGAATTCTAGAATTTGTGCCAGGAGCAATGGTCATAACCAAGGCTAAATCAGTCCTCATGCAATCAAATCACCAAAAAAATAAAGATGTTAGTGACAATGTTGACATAATCTGCAACTTCACTAGTGAACTATTTGCAGCGATCCTACTTGTAGCCATCTAACAGATGAACATACGGAACTTTTGCACTGATCAGAAGAAATATCTCCATTAATCAAAAGAAATATTGCGAGTACTAAACGCAGAATAGAGGACTTGAATTCAAATAATGTTGAAAAGTTACATCACTTTTCTTGTATCAGCATCAGAGGAAATCCATTGATCTTTTACAGCTACATACACGAAAAACAAATATTCCCACTCCTTATTTAGAGCAGGCAATAAAATTAATAGCTGGAGTTCTCATGACGACTTAGAATTAAACAGTAACCACTATGTGGCAGACATGCTTTGACAGGTCACCAGCACATAGGCACAAAAAAGTGTCGCAAAAAAATAACTTGCAATAATGAGATACTATTAAGGGAAAAAGCTGTGTGGAAAGTGGTGAGAAGAAGTTCAATTACATACCTCAAGTGCATGATCTAGCTTAGTCAAGTATTCATCTGTTGCAGTCCCACTCTGCCAAAGTTAAGGAAGCCACAGATGTCGGTGTAGTTCAAGTAAACAAACAACAACCCAGTAGAATCCCACCCAGTGGGGTCTGGAAAGTAAGCAAATAACATGTTCTATAAATTTGTCTAACCTTAACTTCGACTCCTAGATCAATGTACCGCCTGGCTTCAAAATCCTAAATTTTTTTTTGTATAGATTCGCAACAGATCTCATCAAATACTGCTACCTTTTGATGCTATCAGCGCAATTAGAAGAGATCAAGAGAATCAGAAATCAAAAGACAGAATTAATTCGGTCAAAGCGGGGGCACAGGGCATGTGAGAAACAAGGAAAGGAGAGGAAAGTAACAGCCCACTCAAGATGCAGCAGATTGTTCAACATGGAAACTCACAAGTGGATAAATTCCAGGATTGTACATATCAAGGATAAAGACTCTTGCTGCCAGCACCCAACAATCACCAATTAATAATAGTTTAATGGCACAGAAATTTAAGACGAAGTACGAGAAACATACTGTCCTCGGAGAAGTCCATTTCATGGCCATTTCCTTGGTGTGCATCAAGGTCGATTATCATGACTCTGTACAAGAAAAAAGTTCATAAATGATTTCATGAGATGCCATGACCTTTAACTGTACATAGTTACACATTACACATGAATTACCATTTGGTGTACCTTGAGATATTTAAATGCACATATGCAAAATGTATACAAAGAGATATATCAGCATAAACACAAAAACCGCCTCCCCTCTCTGATGAACAATGATGAAATCCACCACCAACGTTAATAGCCCATCCTCGTTCTTTTGCAAGCTTTGCAGCCAAGATTGTTCCTCCCACCTACAAAGAATTATCAACAAAATATGAACCAGAGAACTAGAGAAAATGATATGTGAATAATTAAATTTACCTGCTTGCGGAAAGGGCGAAGCACTTTCTGTTGCACAAGGCAATTGGGAAGCATCGCAACAGGAGGGACCTAAAAAGACTAGGCATGAGATGGTCAAGAGTATCAAAACAAGAAAACTAACTTTTCGAAAAACAGGTAGCTAACAATGTCATGGAAAATCTATGATGACACCACACGTCTGTTTACTTGTGCTTGTCATAGTAGTAAGATGGATCAACAACGGCAAACTTCAGCTCTGAGTCTTACCTCAACAATCTTGGAGACATTCAAGCTGCTATTCAAACTTTTCAAGTATGATTCTGAATGCACCTAAACCAGAAATGACAAAACATTAATTAGTCACCCTCAACATTGCCAGATAAAAGGACAGTCCATAGGAATGCTTGGGTACAAGGACAGTCCATAAGAATGCTCGTCATACTGACTACAGCTAACAAGTAAGTAGAGTTGTGCACCTAGATTGGAGAAAAGACCTAGAGTATCCTAAAGTGACTTGTAAATTATGTACATGCAAAAAAACTGGAACTCAGTGAGCTGTAATTCACCTAAATGAGATTGCAAATAGACCTCGACATTCAAGAACTCCTATATAATCAACGAGGAGCCCAATACTTGACTAAAAGATTTGTAGCACAAGGCTTAAGTATTATTGCTGACAGCACCTAGATCAGATAAAGAGCAACAATATCCTGTTTTGACAACAATATTGCACGTATATAAAAAAATAAAAAATAAAAGAACTAGATGTATTGTATGTCGCCTTAATGAAATTGCAAATTGACCCTGGCATTTACGGACTCAAACATAGGCAATGCCTTAAATTGGTAGTTAAAAGATTTACAGTCTGAGGATCCTGAAGTAATTATTCTGACAAACGGTCCTCAAAACTTAGATGTGTGAACTCAAATAACTGGTGGATGGGATCAGAATCTCATTTCTAAAAATGGTATCTGGGTTTAGCTGAATGGAGGTGATGACAACTTAGATTCAAAAGTAATGACACCGTGTTCCTCGGAAAATATCAGTTCATCAAGTTGATTTTTTTTTTTTTGAGATAGAAATTCATCAAGTTGATTAAAAAGGTGCAAGCATGAAGAATACATAAATGTAAGGGAGATAAAGTGTAAGAGCATGTTTCAAATTGACTCAACTAATCATTTGAAAACAATATAAATGGATATTATAACTCAACAGATAACTAAGTTGTTATCAGTAGAAGTTGCTACCACTAGCAGATCATCTTTTGTTGCCTCCACGGGCTCAACTATATGCTTTTGATCCACGATACCGTCCTTAGAGAGAAACCGGCAGATTCGACCCCATTTTGAAGCGTCAAATGGATGCCTGTGAAGTTAAATGCTTGAATGAGGCCTCCAGTTAAATTCAAACCTAGTTAAGCCAGTAGTTCTTTCAGAGAAAAAATAATATCTTTTTAAAAGGAAAATAAATAGACATGACCCTCAAAAAATAATTAACCAAATAGAAATTCAGCTCTGCAAACAAGGATACTTCACCTCAACAACACCATCAACACCAAATCCAGTATAATCTCACAAGTGGAGTCTGGGGAAGGTAATGTGTACACAGACCTTATCCCTACCCTATGAGGTTGTTTCCACTAGACCCTTGGCGTAAGGAAACAAGAATACTTCACCTCAAGTGCAGCAAATGAAACGTATAGAAAAGAGGCCCCTGCCATTTTGTCAATGAGTTACATTTTATATCCATGACCTTCATGACAAACGGGAAATTCGATAAAATTGGAACGAAATAGAGAAGATTGGCAAGGCCCCTGTGCAAGGATGAAATGCACAAATTGAAAATGATCCAAACTTTTAATTGTAGCATCTCACGGCCAATCGATAGTTAAACTCGAAAGGGAATTCGTTGTAAAGCTTGCCTTAGGAAAATCCCACATCGGAATGGGAGGAGAAGTTATGGGCCATATAAGGCGAGAAAAGGAATTCAACTCTCGGGACGTCCTTCGGGTAAAAGCCCAATGGGCCAAAATTGTTAGGCCCCAAATATTGGACCAAAGGGAACAAGGCCAAGGTTGTTACAAGTAGTATCACAAGCAATATGTTGCGGAAGCCAAATGTATATAGTGTGAATGAGTTACAACTACTATACCAAAAATTATGACAGCCACCAAATAATAAATAAGACAATAAAGCAACAATAAAAGGAACACCAGAATTTACGAGGTTCGGCCAATTTTGCCTACTTCCTCGGACACAACCAATATTTTATTCCACTCCAAAAATACAAGTGAAATAATACTAAAGAGAGAAGATACAAATACCTTAAAAGGCAAATGAGAGGTGTGTCTAAATCCTAAACATTAGGCCTCCTTTTATAGGGAAAAAATCCCAACCAAATATGTCACCCACCGATGTGGGACTTTTGACATTTTCAACAAATCTCCACCTTGGCAAAATTCCACATCTTCAATTTTCTCTCAAAAACAAATTTTGGTTGTGTCTTCATATTCAATCTTCAGTGTTCAACAATGTTGATCAAATCCAAACAATGTTGAAACTTCACCGCAGTCGCCACTTTTGTCAGCATATCAGCAGGATTCTCCGTAGTATGAATTTTCTTCACCGTGACTCCAC